GGGACACAGAACTTTATTGGAGTTGCTGTTGGAGGGGAAGAAAATAGGGCGGGCCAGGAGTAAACTAAATACAGGTAGTCCTCAAACGTACGGCCACAACTGATCCCAACATTTCCGTGGCTAAGTGAGACATGTGTTAAGTGAGTCTCCCCCCCCCCCGGCATTTTGACGAACTCCTTGCCACAGTTGAAAAATGATCATCGGTCACTTTTTTTCCAGTAACTGCGGTCACTAAACCAACTGTTGTAAGTTGAGGACCACCTTGTACATCTGTTTTAGTTTAAATCCAGACAATGAAAGATTCCCCCACAGGATCACGCTTTCTCTGCTCCGATTCCGTTCTTCTGTCCGAAGACCTTCACGGACGCAATTAAGATTTCCAGAGCCCCAAAAATAAAAATAAAAGGCTTCTTTTCATTTTCATCTTCCTATGACAGCATTTCATTCATGAGTTTCCCTCCCACTCCCCTCCTTTGCTGTCTATCCTGTGGCAACGATTTTCTAAGCGGCCGGTTTTGTGAGTTGTGTCAGCCGCTAGGAAACGTGCCAGGATTTTACACGGAGGGGAAAACTAATGTTGATCTTTTTGGGGGGTTCCAGCTTTGCGTAACCTGCGGTTCTATTTAACTGGGACAGTTTGTGAGGTTTGGGCGAAGGTGGAAAGGGCTTTCTTTTCACAACTGGCATTTTAGGAAGCTTTAAAAGGGAGGAAAATAAAAATAAAAACCTCCGTCAGCTGGAGAAAAGACCTCTTGTGTAAATGTACTGAGTCTTCGGTGGCAAAGGGGAAGCCATGAAGAATTGTAGATTCATTCCGGCAGGCTAAAAGTGTCCTGATGTTCCGCCAAAGGGACCCACTTATTTAGCCTCTTTGTGTCGGCGTTGCTGGCGCTTGCGTTTGGCCGACCCTTGGAACACAAAGTAAAACGCCAAAGGCGGAATGGGAGGCTGGAGATTGGTTGGGATGGAGGCGGGATTCAAATCTGCCTTGATAGGCACACCTTTCGGGGGCCCAGATTGCCTCGTTGAGAAACAAATCCCGTTTCAGTGTCGTACCCCTTGATCCATGTATCATTGGGAAAAGCGTTTCTCAATCGTGGCAACATTATGATCCAGTGCAGCGGTGCAGGCCTGCTTCGCCCCTCTAAAGCAGTGTTTCTCAACCAATGGCTCAAATTCCATTCTTTATGTTCCGTTTCCTGTCTACCTCCTAAACGTTCCTGCATAGAAAAACAGGACCCTCCTTAGCACCGACAGATGCTATTATCCAGTCATGGGTGCGAAGGACACACGTTAGCTGCCAAGATCTTTTGAACTACTAATGTTCTGTTGAAGGACAAGCATCACCATAGTTTATTCAGGAGAATACGGGGGTGCTCCCACTTGTTGAATCGGTTGGAGTGTTTCCCAGTGGCCGCTGAAATTGCATAAAATAGACGAGGCAACAAAGACCAGGGGTGGAGATTTTGAGTGTTTCCTTTGGCACAATTATTTGGGATTCTATAAAAGCACCTTGTGATTTCATTCCTGGCTGTTTAATTCTTACTTATTTCAATTGTTTTTGTATTCTGTTATCAGGCTTTGAGCCACTCAGAGTTGCTTCCATAGTGAGATGGGCACCATATAAATTTAACAGAATTGTAGAGCAGAGTAGAATAAGTAAAGTAAGACTAGACTAGTAAAGTAAGACTAGACTAGAATAGAATAAGTAAAGACTAGACAATAGAATAGAATAGAATAGAAGAATAGAATAGAATAGAATAGAATTGGAAGGGACCTTGGAGGTCTTCTAGTCCAACCCCCTGCTCAGACAGGAAACCCTACCATTTCAGACAAATGGTTGTTCAATCTTTTCTTAAAAACTTCCAGTGTTGGAGCATTCACAGCTTCTGGAGATCGAATATACACATTCATGAATTAATTGAACATACAAATATAACAAATTAACCTTGATTTACACATCATACTAGCTAGTTGACCAACACAATAAGCCCAAACGTATTTTGGCTGAGCCTGATGAGCGAATCAAACTTTCTTATTGTATTCTCAGATTTAAGAGTGATGCTTTGTTGTGTTTACCTTTCAGAGATAATATCTAACCAGGTTGTGGGGTAGTTTGTCTTCAAATCTCAGGCTTTTATCACTGTTACTTAAGCATTTTGCAAAATGTCTATTTTGAGTGCTGACCTCTTAGGGATTTGAATTGGTTTAGGACTTTAGGTCAATCATGGGGATCTTAAAGAATAAAAGAATAAACAGTGAGAAAGGAACACAACAGCGTCGGCTTTATCCGGTCATATTAGCTTTGATGTTATCTGTATCTGGACCAGGTAAACATCTGGCAGCTATTCTTCTTCTTAGAGATAGAGTTATATTCTGATAGATTTGATAATGGGATCGAAAGAAAGCCGAATAGAGTAGGTAATTCTAATTTAGTATGTTTATAGCTGCAATCTGGAACTTCGTTTTTTGAGCTGGAAATGAACACGCAGAGGAACGAGGCTGTTTGTTAACAATTAGCTGTGAAAATAAAAACAGTTTTTAGCTGTTTTTATTTAGTACTTTTTTTAAATCCCAGAGCTAATTGTTAACATCACAGGCTACATTCTACATGCTTTAGTATAGATATAAAAACGGAGGAAGGAGCGCTGGGCACTTCATCTTGAACTTTGGAGAAATGGTGACATGTACAGTGAATATAAACCAGAAACCTCTGCTCTTATTTGGCTTTCTTTTTTCTTTTTGGCAAAGCCGAGGATTGACTCCTTGTTTGTTATTCTTGTGAAGGGCTTTATTTCAAAGATACTTCTGTTGCTCAATGTTAAGTCGCAAACAGTTTGCAGCTACCACCTGGCTTTAAACAAAATAACAAACAAAAATGCCGTCTGCATTCTCTGTGTCTAGACCAGGGGGTCTTCAGACTTGGCCCTTTGATGACTTGTGGACTTCAACGCCCAGAATTCCTCAGCCAGTCCTCTAATCATCTTCGTTGCTCTTCTCTGCACTCTTTCCAGAGTCTCAACATCTCAACATCTTTATCTTACAAAGCATCCATTCACCACTGGTGACATTTCCTTCCAGGAAGTTGTCTGCACACTAATAGGATCTTTATGGAACCCAAAGGCATTGCTGGCAATAAATTAACGAAGCCACTGTTTTACTTAGCAGAATGCCAACTTCCTCTTTATTTATTTTTTTAAATAAAGCATTTAAATAATATTTTTTTCCTTAAGTCACAAAGGACAGGAAATCCAGTGAGCACCAAAGGAGGAATTTGGAACACCTCATGGTGTCTTATGTTGACATGTTGCCCCAAAACAAAGCAATCCGTGTAATGGCTATCTGGACCCATTAGAAGGCCAGGATAATGTAGTAATTAAGATGTCATGAGTCTCTCCTCAACCACAAAGCTCTTAAGAAGGCAGGGTGGCAACTTCAGACCAGTTACTCTCTGAACCAACTCACACCATGAGGTTTTGTTTTGTTTTTTAATGTGAGATAATAAGAATAAAAAAATGCTTGTAATTACCCACAAAGAAACTGCTGTGGCTTGAATGACTTTAAACCCTCAAAGGACTCTTGCTACCTATTTCATAACGCTTGCCCTTCCTTCTGTTTGTCCCCTGTGACATTATTTAAGAGAGTAACCTGATCTTCAAGTCTGATTTTCTTTTGTTTCACTCTGCACATTGTGATTATTTTGACCTTGTACCGTGCTGTATTTGTGTGGGACGATATAATGATTTTGGAAAGCAAAGAGTTCAGAAAACCACGTATAAGTACTGTTTTGACCGTGGTGTAACATAGGTAATCATCTCATAATCTTAGCTGCCACTATGCACCCTGAGTGTTCTTTTGAGCGGTTGTGATAAACAAGAATAGGCCTATTTTTTTAAATTTCTTCCGGTCGACTTGAGCTAGTTTTATGCTTCTTAAAACACTTTTTTTTATATGATGCTAAGACACTCTTCTTGCAGACTAGGGATGTTTTGAGCCCGGTTCCCACTGCCCAGTTTATCTGCAGTTTTGCCAGGAAGTAAATTCATCCCGCATTTGTACTGTGGGGCAGGGAAGCTGTGTGTAAAGTCAGAGTCACATGTAATCCAAATAAGTTTATTTGCTTTGCTGAACTGAAATGGTGCGCATAAAAAAAAAAGAATTTTCTCTCAAGCTTAAATAGCTGTCGATTGGCACGGCTTCACATTTTTGTTGAAGGGAAAGAAAAGAACAGAACGGAACAGAATAACAGTTGGAAGGGACCTTGGAGGTCTTCTAGTCCAACCCCCTGCTCAAGCAGGAGAACCTTATACCATTCCAGACAAATGGCTTTCTAGTCTCTTCTTAAAGACCTCCAGTGTTGGAGCACCCACAATTTCTGGAGGCAAGTCGTTCCACTGGTTACTTGTTCTCACTGTCAGGAAATTTCTCCTTAGTTCTACGTTGGTTCTCGATTAGTTTCAATCAATCAATCAATCAATCAATCAATCAATCAGAATACAGCTGGAAGGGAGCTTGGAGGAAAGCTAGTGCCTTAGGCTTCTGATGGATTCTTGAGGCAAATGGTTCCTGATAAGATATTTAATGAAACGAAGGAGAGATATTGTGAAGGTGTTAATCCCGGCAAGGTTAATACTAGCTATTGGACAAGTTTCCTGCAGACTTTGGTGCACAGTTCTCATCTGAACTAAATTACACAGCTCACGATGTGCTGAAACATTTTGGAGCCAAAGTCAACTGCAACTTCCCTTGATCCTTGCTTAACAGGATCCAGAAGAGCCACCTCTGTTTGCCTCTGCCCTGGGAAGGGAAGTTGAGGGGTAGGTGGGAGGGAGAAAGCAACCCAGTCAAAACTTCCCCCAGTAATGTGAAGATTTGACGTTGCTTTCTCCCTGCTCATCCCAACCGTGGGATTAAAACACCTTAAATTTGGGCGTGCTAGCTTCAAGCGGAGGGATTCATTGCGGGTGGTTCCTGAGCAGCCTTCTCCTTGTCTCTTGCAGAGATGCGTTGCAGCCCCGGGCATTTCACTTGCCGCAGCGGTTCAGTCCAGTGCATCCCCTCGAAGTGGCAATGCGACGGGTGGCCCACCTGTGAGGATGAAAGCGATGAAATTGGTTGCCCAAGTAAGTGCCCTGAAAGAGGAACGTAGAACGTAAAGCACAGACTCCCTAGGGCTGGGAGGGACCTGAGAGGTCTTCTAGCCCAACCCCTGCTCAAGGCAGGAGACTTTATACCAGAGGTCCCCAACCTTTTGGCCGCCAGGGACCGGTTCTGTGGAGAAAGGTTTTTTTTCCCCACGGACCGGAGAGTGCGTGGTTTTGTGTGCTGCCTGTATCCCACGGATGGGGCTTTGCTTGTTTGTGCGGCCCGGTTGCTGGCATGCTGCGGGCCGATACCGGTCCACGGACCGGGGATTGGGGACCCCTGCTTTATACCATCCAAGTCAAATGGTGGTAGTAGTAGTAGTAGTAGTAGTAGTAGTAATAGTAGTAGTAGTAGTAGTAGTAGTAGTAGTAGTAGTAGTAATAATAATAATAATAATAATAATAATAATAATAATAATAATAATAATAAAGTTGGAAGGGAGCTTGGAGGTCATCTAGTCCAACCTCCTGCTCAGGCAGGAAACCCTATACCATTTTGGACAAATGGCTGTCCAGTCTCTTCTTAAAAACTTCCAGTGTTGGAGCATTCACCGCTTCTGGAGGCAGGTTGTTCCACTGGTTAATTGTTCTCACTGTCAGGAAGTTTCTCCTTAGTTCTAAGTTGCTTCTCTCCTTGATCAGTTTTGTAAACCTCCAGTGATGGACTACCCACAACTCCAGGAGGCAAGAATTGTTCTCGCTGTCCAGAAAATTTCTCCTTACTTACTACTAACTTACTAATGTGCCTGGAAAGAACAGGCACCTGTCTGTGTGGTGGAATCACGGGTCAGAGTAGAGGTGGTCTAGCTTGGGGTGACTGACTCCATGGGAGGAAGTAGCGGAGGCCTTTATCTACCTGTTCCCAGGAGAATGCAGTCAGTCTGGGGAGATTCTTGTAAATAGGGGATCAACAATAAAGTCCTTTTGACCTAGAGTTGTTTGCGCCTGACAGTCTGCTAGGCTCCGGGACATTCATCAGAATTTTTAGTCAGCAGAAACTAGAGAGGAGATAATAGTTATATTGTCTGTCTCCCTTTCCTCTGTCTTATCCAGAAGCTTTGTTTTAAATTAGTTTGCAGCCGGGGAGTGTAGGATTCAGGCATCGTGAAAGGGTCCTCCTTGTTGCCTTAACTCCTGAAAAATGTTGAACTTTGAAATGCCCTAGTTGTGCAGCTTCAAAAAATATCTCTTGGTTTCTTGCTTACTGTAGGTTAGTTTTGTATTCGTTTTTATTTCCTTGCTTAAATGTTTCTACGTACCGCTGCTTGAATAAGGAAGTGAGGACAAAATGAGTCCACAGGTCCACTCTTAACCTGTTGTGGGTTCAAATGCCACCCCCCCCTCTAATCCATAGCCATTTTCTCGAGGTACACTTGAGAAACACTTTGGACCAGTTAGCCGTTCCAGTCAGCTCTCCCTCCCCACTCCTCCCCAATTTTAATCAAGTTTCACTCTTGCAGTCCTATTCTTGCTTTTTAACAAGGAACGTCCGGACTTCTCAAGGCTGAATAATGTCTGCAGAGCCTCTTCTGCTCCAAATGGCTGAGCAAGGACTGTGTTTTCTGCCCTTTAGAGGCAGGAAATGTGAAAAGTTTACACAAGCTCCAAAACAAGATTAATGGTGCTTTACAAGCCAAGAACGCCACACAAACTCAGAAAAACAAAGTCCCCTTTCCAGTTGGTGTTTTGAACCCCACCCATTAAAATCGGTGGGTTTCCCCCTACAAATGCTAAGTGTGGTCTTCAGGGGCAAGCTGTTGTCCACCTTTTCTCTAAAATCCAGTATAAAAACACTGAGATGAATCAAAGCTCTGCTTCTTATAGGTGCAGCTGAGTTGTTATTATTATTATTTAACTGCCTTTGATTGAAGCTGAAAAACCAGAATGTTGAGTGATATTGGCAGAGAAGAACAGAAGCCAATAAAATTACATAAGAGGCATATCTATCTCTCTCTCTCTCTCTCTCTCTCTCTCTCTCTCTCTCTCTCTCTCTCTCTCTCTCTCTCTCTCTCTCTCTCATTTCTTCTTTTTAATTGTCGGCTTGTGCTTAGATTCTTGTCGTCGCCATCGGCCTCGTCTTCGTTCAGCTACTGGACCTCAGTTTTGGCAGCCCTGATTTCCATCTCGATTTGAACGAAAGCGTTTTTCTTGACGTTCCACAAAACGGTGTGCAGTTGAAATGAACGAAAGCAGAAGGGCACACGTGTGGCCCTAGCTGCGGGAAGTGACTCGTTTTGTATGGAATATATAAGAAGCCATCTCATCTTTGTTGCTCTTCTCTGTACTCTTTCTAGAATCTCTTTTTTACAGGGTTTTTTTTTTTGGGGGGGGGGTAACCTATACAAACTAAAGGAGACCATTGCTGTTGTTGTGGGGAAGTTGTGATATTCCAGAACGATGCTTTGTAGCCTGCGGTGGCTTCTCTTGTCGATAAGCGTAGTTCTTCACTGGCCCCCTTGGCGTCTGTTGGAGACCTAAATTTGCTGCCTTTTGTTACCTTTTCTCAAATAAGCCAGACCTTCAGTCGGTTTTCAGGCAGGCTGCTTGTTCGTTGTGCCCTTTTTTTCTGCACCTCTGCAAGCCAAAGAATTTAATCTACTTGGTGTCTTAACACAATCGTTGACAGTTTCAATCTCCGGCTGCTCGTTTAACTGGCTGCTCCCAGCCTCTGCTCTTTCGTTATACAGCTTTTCTTAAGGTTGAGCGACAAATTCCTTTACAGTCTCTTGAGAACCAAATTAAATCAAAGCCTTGGAACGACACAGCCTGTGGGGCCAGAAGATCCTGGCCTTTGCATCAAACTCTCCTTTCCATCGCCCCCCTCCTCATCGCCCCTCACCCAGCAATTTCCAGATCTTTGATCTACTGCCCTGAGAGCAGGCGGGCGGCCCCTCACCGATGCGCTCTTGAACGCATGCTTGGCATTGCTGCAAGGATTTATGCAGCAAGCAGCCCTGGAAGGCTTCAGCCGCAGGAAATAAGGCTCAGCTGCTTTGGAGGAATGAAGTGCTCGGCCAGTTCCAGCAAGAACACCCACGCTTCAAAGCCTCAAGGCTGGGTATTGCCGCTGTGGGGGGGTGTTTTGGGAGTTTCTCAATCAAGCCTTTTCGGCAGTTGGGAGGCGAGGGTTCCGTTTTGTGCTTACTTGGCAAGCACACGTTTAGCTGCTGTGCGCCCACCTGCAGTCCGGCAGCCCCTGTTTAGAACCTCCTACAGGGAAACAATTTGGCTAAAAGCGACATTTTTCTCTCTTTCTCTCTTGCAGCGTGTTGTGTAGAGGAAGAGAAGTGGCCGTTAGGAAAAGATATTGTATGCAGTGCCCTGGGTTATTTAAAAGTAAATCAATTCTTCTTCTTCTTCTTCTTCTTCTTCTTCTTCTTCTTCTTCTTCTTCTTCTTCTTCTTCTTCTTCTTCTTCTTCTTCTTCTTCTTCTTCTTCTTCTTCTTCTTCTTCTTCTTCCTCTTCCTCTTCTTCTTCTTCTTCTTCTCCTTCTCCTTCTCCTTCTCCTTCTCCTTCTCCTTCTTCTTCTTCTTCCTCCTCTTCCTCCTCCTCCTCCTCCTCTCCTTCTTCCTGCTCCTTTCCTGTGCAAAGCACAGATCTCGGTCTGCAGTTACATTCTCCATATTCTTCCATTTAAGGTTGCTATTTTTTCAGATCTTCCTGAAAAATTGGCTCATTATTATTACAATTTTTCCTTCCTTCCTTCCTTCCTTCCTTCCTTCCTTCCTTCCTTCCTTCCTTCCTTCCTTCCTTCCTTCCTTCCTCCCTCCCTCCCTCCCTCCCTTCCTTTCTTCCCACTCATCATTGCCGACCTTAACTTTTTAACATGGTTGTTTTGACTAAGCCAGAGTTGGTTGGCTTTACACAAAACGTTAGGCCGACAGAGGACTGCAAACCACACCATAACAGCTCAGCATGACCTGCGATCTAGGGCTGTGCAAAATATGTTTGGAATCTAAAGTATTTTGAAATTTTAAAATGTTTTGCTTTTGAGCTTGGGGGTGTTTTGACTCTTTGAAGCCCTTCCAGAGAACCTGCTTCAACTTGAAGCAATTGTTTCAGCCTCCAACGAAAACATCCCAACCTTAAAACATTCCCCTTTGGGATTTTTTGTTTGTCTGTTCCTAGCATGAGCCCAGGTACAGGTCTTAAATTTGTTTTCCTTTGGAGCCCATGCTAGTTTGAAGCACATGTACTTATTAATAAAGGAGAATATTTATAGTTCAGGGTTGACATGAGGGGTCCTTGGTGCTCTCTGAGCTTGGTGGTTTTCTTGAAGACATTTCATTACCCAAACTAGGTAACGTCATCAGTGCTAGAAAGAAATAGGTTTTGGGGTGGAGGAGCAGAAGGAAAAGGACGGGGGTCCTTGGTTCTCTCTGAGCTTGCTTCTTTTCTTGCAGAGGTTTCATTAGCCAAACCAGGTAACACTATCAGTGCTAAAATACAGTGGGCTAGCACTAAAGATGTTACCTAGTTTGGCTAATGAAATGTCTGCAAGAAAGCAAGCTCAGAGAGCACCACAGGTACCTAGGCATGCAATGCATATTTGCAGATCCACATATTTTGACCCCATTATCTGATTTCTTTCTGCTTAAAGGAAAAGAAACAACAGCAGAAGCGATCACAAAACCAAGCAAATATTTGGTAGATCCTCATTGATAATCAGATATCAAATTGAGAAAAAGCCAACACAGTTCTAGGCAGCATTAATAGAGGGATAGAATCAAGATCACGTGAAGTGTTAATACCACTTTATAACTCCTTGGAAAGACCGCACTTGGAATACTGCATCCACTTTGCATCCACTTTCGGTTTCCACAATATTAAAAAGATGTTGAGACTCTAGAAAGAGTGCAGAGAAGAGCAACAAAGAGGATTAAGGGGCTGGAGGCTAAAACATAGGAAGAACGGTTGCAACAATTGGGAATGTCTAGCTTAATGAAAAGAAGGACTAGGCGTGACATGAGAGCTGTCGCCCAATATTTGAGGGGCTGCCCCAAGGAAGAGGGAGTCAAGCTATTCTCCAAAGTACCTGAAGGCAGGACAAGAAACAATGGATGGAAATCAATCAAGGAGAGAATCAACCTAGAACTAAGGAGAAATTTCCTGACAGTTAATACAATCAGTGGAACAACTTGCCTCCAGAAGTTGTGGGTGCTCCAACACTGGAGGTTTTTAGGAAGAGATTGGACAACCACTTGTCTGAAATGGTACAGGGTTTCCCGCTTGAGCAAAGGGTTGGACTAGAAAACCTCCAAGGTCCCTCCCAACTCCTGCTATTCTGAGAAATTTAACACTGACTGTGGTCACCTCCATGAATTGTTAGTAACACAATCTCATTTCCTCATTTCGGCAATTGATTGTGGAAATGAGAAGATGGCGTTCTCATTTTGCAGGGTGTGTGTAAATAAGTCAACCCAAACATCCCCTTCCTTGACACTTCCCATTTTGGGGGGGGGGAGATCATACTGGTTAGGGGCTTTTCAGTCATACATTTAACTCTATTCCTCATTCTTTAGAAATGGTTTTGTTTTTAATTGTTGCGGTCTCCAGTCTTTCAGTTCTCCATCCCTGTGGAGCAGTTTTTAGTTGGCTGCCCCTGAGTTAAATTTTGCGGGGTTGGTTTTTTTTTTTTGGTGTGGATTATTATTTAATCTAAGGATAAACTGCCCACAAACTTCACTGTATCTCCCAGCTATCTCCCTTTAAGAAAAGTCTGTCTCTGTGGAAGCTCTACTGAATTTATAATTAATTATTGTAACTATGATTATGGCCTATGACCTATTACTTGCTGTTTATATGTACACTGTGAGACAAATTCCTTGTGTGTCCAATCACATTGGCCAATAAAGAATTCTGTTCTATTCTATTCTATTCTATTCTATTCTATTCTATTCTATTCTATTCTATTCTATTCTATTCTATTCTACTCTACTCTACTCTACTCTACTCTACTCTACTCTACTCTACTCTACTCTACTCTACTCTACTCTCTTATTCTATTCCGTGCCATTCCACTCCACTCCATTCCATTCCGTTCTATTCCATTCCATTCCATTCCATTCCATTCCATTCTATTCTATTCTATTCTATTCTATTCTATTCTATTCTATTCTATTCTATTCTATTCTAATTCCATCCTCTAAAGTTTTTTTCCCATTCTGTTTCTTTTTACATGACACTTGTCATCACACATGACACTTGTCATCCGTTGTGATTCAGAATCCACTTTGCTTGGACCTCTTGGGAATTGAGTCACAATTTAGGTATCCTCTTGAACATGGCCTTAATTACAGTCCTTTAACTTGACAGGGAGGCTATGGAAAGGATATGACAGCAGGGGCATGGCAGATTGTGTAACGATTGGGTCAGCAGCTTGTTCTGCTGTCAACGTGAGTCTTGGGGAAGCTGAGCAGATCCCAAAGAAAGGCCCCACCTTGATGCAATGGCCAGCCATTGTCATTCAACTTCAAAAGCTTCTATTAGGGTCAGCAGTGACTCATAGACACTTAAAAACCCAACTAATCTTCCTCTTCTCCACTGTTAGACCACAGGTTCTTTAAATAAAGTGAAGGGTAATCAGTGTCAACTATATTGTGCATGACCCACTTAATGGCCAGGTTTGGGCTGATTTGGTTTGCAGTGTTGAGCATAATTCCGTCGGTATCATGACACATTGAGCATTTTAATAATAGATCATTCTAAATTCTTTTCTGGGGAGAAACTAACGGTTAAATTAAATTGGGGTTAAATATGAAGGGAAAAAAAACCCCAACCTCCTCCTGCCCAATCTTGCTTACCTGAAGCCTCCCATGCTTACCTTTCTCCTAGATTATACAGGGGAGCAACGCATTTATCACGGGAAGGAAAATGTGGATTCCAGGCACAATCGTGGAAGAGGAGGGGACACGACACGCTTCCACACCATCAACCTGGCACAGCCGGTTCGATTCAGTAGTAAGTTGCAGACTTGGAAACAAGAACCAGATCTTGAGGGCTGGGGAATTCTGGGAGTTGAAGTCCACAAGTCTTAAACGTTGCCAAGGATGGATATCCTTGGTCTAGGGGTAGGGGTCTAGGAGTAGGCAATGGGTGGTCCACTTTTTTTGTTGATTGAGACTGTACTCCACACTCCGATGGAATTGGCAGTACAGTCTCCAAAGGGCTGATGTAAAAGTGGGGGAAAGGATAGCAAATGTGGACGTGCAGTCCTCATTTAGCGACCGCCTCCTTTAGCGATATTTGCAGTTACATGGCCGATGAAAAACTAATTGGCTAACCATAACTCACATTTACGACCTTTGCAGGTCCCGTAAAGCAAAGGAAAACTGAGGCACAACATAAACCTTTGACCTTAATGACCACTTTGCTTCACCACCAAGTTGCTGGTTGCAGCTGTGGTTGCTAAACAATAAATACATAACACGCTGCCTGTATGTATGTGTGTTATTTACTCAATTTATACAGCGGCGTATCCTGCCTCTAGATAAGAAGACACTACTTCTGATTTTTGTGATCAGAGGAACTTGGGCAGGCTGTACTAAAGATACTTTGGGGGGGGGTCAAATTGAGAAGTCTCAATGAACATTACTTACTTTGTACAGTATTTGCATTAAACGAAACCTCAAAAGGAAGCGATTCCAATTAACTTCCCTTAGCAAGATAATTGCACAGCGAACTGTTCTTGCTGTTCAGTCTTTTAAGGCTGCAAATAAATCCCCCCCTTTTTTATAGTGTAAACGCTTATTGCAGCTTGGCCTGTCTCCAAAAGATATGGCAAGCCATTTTCTTCCTTGTGCCTAAAATAAGCAGAAAATGTCTTCAAACGAGAACATCCGCCTCAATCCGATTAGCGGAGGCAGAACAGTAGGGAGAAGGAAAGGGTAATGGAATCACGGATGTAGAAGCTGCTCTGGATTCTGAATGGAGACTCAACCCGAAGGCCAACGATTTAAAAATAAAAAAAAAATCCATTTGGATAGGGGTGGTGTTGCTTAAAAAGAACCTTGCATTTAAAAAAAAAATAGACACACGGAAAGGTAATTGAATCAAACCATTGATCCCTCCATCCATCCAGGTTCGATGCTTGACTCTGCCGAGGGTCAGCAGCTCTCTTGGTTGCTGTACATCGTGATCCGGCGGGGCCTTGCCTGCAATTAAACCAGCAATATTGGTGCACAGAAACGAAAGGCTGGTTTTGATTAGCCAGGAACGATAAGATGGGTGGTCGTGTCTGGCAGCCTTGCCTTGTCAGAGATAATTCCAAATAGAATCTGCATGTTTTGCATTTTAAATCTAGACCAGTGGTTCTCAACCTGTGGGTCGGGACCCATTTGGGGTCGAACGACCATTTCACGGGGGTCGCCAAACAATGCAGTCCGCCATTTTTCCCCCCTTTTCCTTAGCTGTGCTCCTCCCTTTTATTCTATTGGCTTTTGAAAGCCAATAGAATAGACTCTCTTGAATAGAGTCTAATTCTATTGGCTTTCAAAAGCCAATAGGAATTGTCCAGGCCGTCTCTGCCCTGCCGAGCCTGCCAAAAGTCCCCTTCTGCAAACGGTGCTGCACCAGTTGAGTAGTCCTCGACTTACGACCGGTTGAGTAGTCCTCGACTTACGACTGGTTGGGGGTCGTGGCATTAAAAAGGTTGAGAACCACTGGTCTAGACCTTTTCATTTCAGGCACGATAGGTTTTTTTTTTTTTAATATAGGCAGTTTTAGAATGATGTTGCGTACAGGAAAAGCTTTCTTCTAAATCTCTTTCTTGGCTAGATTTGAACTAAGCCTAATGCAGCGCTTCTCAGGTTTGGCAGCGTTAAGGTGGGTGGACAACTCCCAGAATTCCCCAGCCGGCGTGTTGAAGTGGAAGTCGACCCATCTTAAAGTGGCCACGGTTGAGAAATTCTGGCCCGAGGTCTTTAGGAACGGCTAAAAACATGCTTTGTTTTTCTCTTGGACGTGTTGAGGTCCTAACTGGGTGGGGAATTGTTTTCCCTTCTCTCTTTCATGTTTCCTAGGGAAATGCCCATCAGGCTGGCACCACTACGAGGGCACCGCCAGTTGCTACAGGGTGTACCTAAATGGAGAGAACTACTGGGATGCCATACAAACGTGTCAGAAGGTGAATGCGTCCTTGGCTACCTTCACCACCGACCAGGAGCTGAAGTTTATTCTGCAGCAAGAGTGGGACTCTGAGGAGAAGACCTTTGGCCGGAAGGATCAACGCCGGTGAGTTTGCACGGCGTCACATTCAGCATTTTGGTTTTTTTTGGGGGGGGGAGAAACACCTCGCTTCTTCTTTTGGATTTGGGATGGGTGTGTTTCATCCCATGGAGAGGAATTCCAGGGTTCCCTTGGAGAGGTTGAGGTTGACTTCCAGAGCTGCTCTTGTCATTGCCTGCGTCCTGTTTGTCAACATCAAATTAATAATACTAATAATAAAGTTGGAAGGGAGCTTGGAGGTCATCTAGTCCAACCCCCTGCTCAGGCAGGAAACCCTATACCATTTCAGACAGGTGGCTGTCCCGTCTCTTCTTAAAGACTTCCAGTGTTGGAGCATTCACCGCTTCTGGAGGCAGGTTGTTCCACTGGTTCATTGTTCCAACTGTCAAGAAGTTTCTCCTTAGTTCCAGGTTGCTTCTCTCCTTGATTAGTTTCCACCCGTTGCTTCTTGTCCTGCCTTCTGGCGTTTTGGAGAAGAGCTTGACTCCCTCTTCTCTGGGGCAGCCCCTGAGATATTGGAACGCTACTATCCTGTCCCCCCTCGTCCTTCTGTTCATTTTGTCAGCTGCCACCTTATGCTTGCTTGTGCTTCGCTGCTATGTGGTGACAGACTGTCATGAATGGTGGGAAGAGGGAATGAAGGGGGGAATGCTTGGGGAAACGGAAGTAGATGCTGTATCTCCTCCAGGAGATGCTGCCTCAAGGTCCACCCAGCTGGAAGAAGGAGGGGGCCACCTAAAAAAACACCTTGCATGAACCTGATTGGTTACATTGGGGTGGGCAAAGAGAGATATTTTAGGGAGGGAAAAAATAGAACTTGGGAATTTTGGCGTATGATTCTCAGTCCTGGCTTTGCAATCCTGCAAAACATTTGATCTCTAATAAACAATAGTTTGTCTAGAAACGGAGCCAAGGATTGTTTCTGTTTAGAGGTTTAAGTTGGGGCAGGTTCGACACAAACCTCAAACAGGTTTAATTTTGCCCTCCTTACCCTTGAAGTTGTTTTTTTTAGCATTGAGCAGTGGGTCAAATAGATTTATCTCCTCTGTTACACCAGAGGGGAGTTTGGATATAACCGGTGCTTTTTTTTCTTTTTTTTTTTTAAAAAAAAAGGTGCCGGAACTCACACACGGCATACAACCCGCCTTGCCTACCCTACAAGGTTCCATCCCAAAAAAGATGCCGGAACTCCGTTCTGGGCGTTCCGTGAGAAAAAAAAAGCCCTGGCTATAACAATGAACCTTTGGTGCTTATTTCGCCACATTTCGAACCTGTTTCTCGTGTTTGTTTGTTTTTTAAATTTGCATCAACTTTCCAATGCAGTCTAATCGTCATTGAAGTTTTACAACTTGTCTCCCCCCCCCCTTAAATTTCCAACTGAAGGTTTTGGGTTGGGTACCAGTTTGTCATCACCAACCGAAACAATTCCCTCGAAGGCCACTGGGAAGTTGCTTATAAAGGTAAGTTCAGAAATCTGGATCTTTTTCTGCTCCTTAAAACTAAAATTAGAACCTTGTTCCTGCCATTTGAATACACTTGTATGTCTCCTCGTATAGTGAACAACGTCCTATTTCTGTTACATAAAGCATTAAGTAACTTGGTATTAGCTTTGAGGGACGGGAAGACACGCCCCAAGATTCCCAGGAAAAAACTGAAGCTATAAACTTTAGGGGAAGTGAGTTATAAAAATGTGTACACTTCAGGAAGTAGGTATAAGAATATGTTGCCCGCTAAGGGTTTCCTAACGCAGAAACCAAATGCAAACTAGCTAATGTATCATTGATTGGGTTCCTTGATTTTCTCTGAGCTTGGTTGCAGGCATTTCATTACCCAGCTAGATAACATCTTCAGTGCTGGGAGTCGGCTGTGCGGAATGGAGGCGGAAGTAGAGAAGGAGGACGACTACGGGGTCCTTAGTGCTCTTTGAAAATCATTGTTTTCTTGAAGACATTTCATGACCCAACTAAGTAACATCATCAGTGCTGGAAGAGAGGGAGATTTGATCTCTGCTTGTAACTCCCTTCTAACTCGGATGATGCTCCCTAGTTGGGTCATGAAACGTCTGCAAGAAAACCACCAAGCTCAGAGAGCACCAGGCACCCCTCATTTCAACTCTGAGCTACAAATATTCTCTCTAATGGTATCAATCAGTGTCAGGCTTAAGAGCCAAGAACAACACATGGAATTACTTCAGAGTAGTTCCTTTATTGTTTCTGGCCTATTGACTGGAACCAGATTAAAGCTCAAATCTGCATGACTATTGAATAAATCAGTGGTTCTCAACCTGTGGGTCGGGACCCCATTTGGGGTCGAACGACCATTTCACGAGGGTCGCCAAACAATGCAGTCCGCCATTTTTTTCCCCCTTTTCCTTAGCTGTGCTCCTCCCTTCTATTGGCTTTTGAAAGCCAATAGAATAGACTCTCTTGAATAGAGTCTAATTCTATTGGCTTTCCAAAGCCAGTAGGAATTGTCCAGGCTGTCTCTGCCCTGCTGAGCCCACCAAAAGTCCCATTCTGCAAACGGTGCTGCACCAGTTGAGTAGTCCTCGACTTACGACCGGTTGAGTAGTCCTCGACTTACGACCGGTTGGGGGTTGCGGCATTAAAAAGGTTGAGAACCACTGGAATAGATCCTGTGGGAGGTTAGGGAGGGTCCACCCTGGCTCTCTTACTGCATATCAGAGATTCCTGGCTGAGCCAGCTCTTTGCTCCTTGCAAAAGATTCCTTCCTTCCTTCCTTCCTTCCTTCCTTCCTTCCTTCCTTCCTTCCTTCCTTCCTTCCTTCCTTCCTTCCTTCCTTCCTTCCTTCCTTCCTTCCTTCCTTCCTTCCTTCCATCCATCCACCTGTGCAACTCTGGCCGTTCTCCCACCACAATGAGGAAAGTGAGAAACCGAATCAAAGCAGCCTGGATCCATCTGTTTAGCTTTTTTTTTTTTTTCCAGCATACGCCCGAAACGGATGGCACCGCAGAGCGTGACCCCAATCCTCTCTTCCTGTGTTTTGTGTCATTCCAGGATCGTCGGAAGTATTTCTTCCTCCTAACCCTACGTTCAGCACATCTCTCTCTGAAAATGAAAACATCCTCTGTGCCCAATTCCAGTGCTCTCACTTCCCAATTCTCCGGCACCACGGTTTTCACAGCTGGTACGCTGAGAACTGCTACGAAAAATCCTCCTTTCTCTGCAAGAGAAGTAAGTCTTCCCCCCCTCCCTCCCCCCAGTTGATAACCCTGCTGGACCAATTTGGAACACCTCTGAAGAGAATTGGCCAAAATAAAAAGAGCCGAGGTGGCGCAGCAGTTAGAGTGCAGTACTGCAGGCCCCTTTAGCTGACTGTGTTCAGCAGGTCAGCGGTTCAGATCTCACCGGCTCAAGGTTGACTCAGCCTTTCATCCTTCCGGGGTAGGTAAAATGAGGACCCAGATTGTTGGGGGCAATGTAAATATATATATACATTGCTTACTGGTGTACACCGCTTAGAGAGTGCTTGCACTTAAAGCGGTATATAAGTCTCATAAATAAATAAATAAAGATGGCTTTTCCTCCCCTCCCTCTCTCCGTTCCAGGCCAGACGTGCGTGGATATCAAAGATAACATTGTCGACGAAGGCTACAATTTCACCCCTAAAGGGAACGACCCCTGCTTAAGTTGCACATGTCACAATGGCGAGCCGGAGATGTGCGTGGCAGCCTTGTGCGAGCGACCCCAGGGCTGTCAGCATTACCTAAAGGATCCCAAGGAATGCTGCAAATTTACCTGTTCAGATCCTGGTAGGTCTGCCTTCTCTCAAAATCCAATCTTTATCGCTGTCATGAAGAGCATAAAAGGGGTAAAATGCACAGTGTTAGCCGTTTTAAAACCTAAAATCAATAAAATAGACGGGGTTAAAAAAAAACTAACAAGAAACGAATGCTGAGGGAGTCAGCGTTGCCTGACAGCGTTGCTTCCATGGTCATGTGGCCAGCGGGATAAATAAATATACATAAGAAGCGAGCCAGTTTGGTCTAGTGGTGAAGGCACCAGGCCAGGAGCTGGGTGTTGGTGAGTTCTAGTCCTGCCTTAAGCCATGAAAGCTGGTTGGGAGACTTCGGGCCAATCATCAAGAGATGTTGAGTTCTAGTACTACTTGAAGCATGAAAGCTGGTTGGGTCACTTTGGGCCAATCGCCAGGAGACTGGGAATTCTAGTCCTGCCTTAGGCATGAAAACTCAAGGTTGTGGTCTTCCCTCTCTTCCCCTCTTGCAGACGGCAACAGTTTGTTCGATTCCATGGCCAGTGGCATGCGCCTGATCGTCAGCTGCGTCTCTTCCTTCCTCATTTTGTCCCTCCTTCTCTTCATGGTCCACCGGCTGCGACAGAGACGCCGCGAGCGCATCGAGTCCCTGATTGGAGCCAACCGTAAGTGTGGGTCACACCTTCTCCGAAGGGCACACGGGAAAGTCCCTGCCAGCTTTTTTCCTTTCCTTTCCTTTCCTTTCCTTTCCTTTCCTTTCCTTTCCTTTCCTTTCCTTTCCTTTCCCTTCCTTTCCCTTCCCTTCCCTTCCCTTCCTTTCCTTTCCTTTCCTTTCCTTTCCCTTCCTTCCCCTCCCTTTCCCTTCCTTTCCTTTCCTTTCCTTTCCTTTCCTTTCCCTTCCTTCCCTTTCCCTTCCTTCCCTTCCCCTTCCCTTCCTTTCCTTTCCCTTCCCTTGCCTTCCCTTGCCTTGCCTTCCTTTCCTTTCCCTTGCCTTCCCTTCCCTTCCTTTCCCTTCCTTTCCTTTTCTTTCCTTTCCTTTCCTTTCCTTTCCCTTGCCTTGCCTTGCCTTGCCTTCCTTTCCTTTCCTTTCCTTTCCTTTCCTTTCCTTTCCTTTCCTTTCCTTTCCTTTCCCTTGCCTTCCTTTCCTTTCCTTTCCTTTCCTTTCCTTTCCTTTCCTTTCCCTTGCCTTCCTTTCCTTTCCTTTCCCTTGCCTTGCCTTTCCCTTCCCTTCCTTTCCTTTCCTTTCCTTTCCCTTGCCTTCCTTTCCTTTCCTTTCCTTTCCCTTGCCTTGCCTTTCCCTTGCCTTGCCTTCCTTTCCCTTCCCTTCCTTTCCTTTCCTTTCCTTTCCCTTGCCTTCCTTTCCTTTCCTTTCCTTTCCTTTCCTTTCCTTTCCTTTGCCTTGCCTTGCTTTGCCTTGCCTTCCCTTCCTTTCCTTTCCCTTGCCTTCCCTTCTTTCCTTTCCTTTCCTTTCCTCCCTCCCTTCCTTCTTTCAGATGGTATAGGTTCTCCTGCTTCAGCAGGGGCTGGACTAGAAGACCTCCAAGGTCCCTTCCAGCTCTGTTCTGGTAAAACACCTGTCGTTCTTAATCCCATGCAGCTTTCTACTGTCACAGGAGAAACCTGATTAAAATAGGGCGGTGGGGGGGGGACCTAAAGCCAAAGCGCAAAAGCTCCACGATTCCGCTTTAAACTGGATGCTTTGGGCAGAATGAATGAAAAGATGAAACCGTGACGATGATGGTGTCCACGGGTCTTTTCCTATCCCTGCTCCCCTTTCACAGTGCACCACTTTAACCTGGGCCGAAGGATGCCCGGCTTCGATTACGGCCCAGATGGCTTTGGAACCGGACTCACGCCACTGCACCTCTCTGACGACGGAGAAGGCGGGGCCTTCCACTTCCACGACCCGCCTCCACCCTACACCGCGTACAAATACCCGGACATTCAACACCCAGACGACCCACCGCCACCTTACGAAGCGTCCATCAGCCCAGACAATATTCTCTGTTCTCCGCCAGGTATCTTTATCTGAATCCTTGCCCAAGGCTGTCTTGTTGACCTTGGTCTTCAGCCTTTCCCATTCAGGTCTCAGTAAAGGGGTGATGGGACGTCTTTGGTGCTCTCTGAGCTTGGCTGCTCTCTAGCAAATGTTTCGTTACTGAACTCGATAACTTCCATCTGTGCTAGAAAGGAGTGGGGTTTGCGGAGTGGTGGTGGTGGAGGAGGAGGGCTGTGGGGTCTTTGGTGCTCTCTGAGCTTGGTGGCTTTCTTGCAGACATTTCATTACCTAACTAAGTTACACGATCAGTGCTAGAAGGGAATGTGATTTGCAGAATGGAGTGGGAGGAGGAGGAGGACGACGACGACTCCAAGGTCCTTGGTGCTCTCTGAGCTTGGCTTTCTTGCAGACATTACCTAGACATCAGTGCCAGTAAGGAGTGGGATTTACTCCCTGTTTATATTCTAGTGGCTTGCCCTGTCAATGTTGGTGAGATATATAAACAGAGACCAAGTCCAACTCTCTTCTAGCTCTGATGATGTTACCTGGTTGAGTAATGAAATGTCTGCAAGAAAGCCACCAAGCTCAGAGAACACCAAGGACCCCATAATCTTGCTGCTGCTGCTGCTGCTGCTGCTCCTCCTCCTCCAAACCCTACTCCCATCTGGCACTGATGATGTGACCTAGTTGGGTCATGAAACATCTGCAAGAAATCAACCAAGCTCAGGGAGGACCAAGGACCCCTCATTTCAACCCTGAGCTGCTCTCCTTTAGACCACTCTCCCCCCCCCCGATGAAATGCCAAAATTTCAGCAACGGTGCTACGGGCTGGGGAGTTGAAACCCACGTATCTGGGGCTGACTCGTGCAATCCTTCCGGGGTAGGTAAAATGAGGACCCAGATTGTTGGGGGCAATGTAAATATATATATATACATTGCTTACTGGTGTACACCGCTTAGAGAGTGCTTGCACTTAAAGCGGTATATAAGTCTCATAAATAAATAAATCCCAGGATTCCAATCTTATCAAAGTAAGCGGTAATGATCTGGAAGCAGCTAATGACCTAATGGCAGGAATGCATTGATTTGGGCTTGATTTTTTTTTTTTTTTTTGTCCTTTCCTTTCCCTTCCTAGACGGGGTCCATTCTCAGATGGGGGCTAACACTCAGCTGTCCTTAGGGAACGCCGACACCTCTTTGCCGCTGCCCGACGAACCTCTTCCTCCTTCCCTCGGCCCGTCCCCCTTGGAGCTTGAAAACTCTGCGGACAGTAGCACCCTCCTTGTCTTACCAGACACTCCTTTAAGTGAAAGCACGCTCTCGGAGAGCCTCGGTGGCAACCGCCACAGCCACTGTTCTCAAAATACCATGGTATAAAGGAAACACAATCAAAACAAGAGACCCACCCCCCCTCTCTTAACTGCCAGCCAGCCAGCATTTAAAGGCCGGGCCACTGTTTGCCTGTCCGATGTACGAGGGGATGCTGAATTCACAGACTGAAGTTCAGAAATAAAACTCCCCTGTCTGGCTTTTTGCAGATTCTCCTTTGAGTTTAGACTTGTAACACGTCGGCCCGGACAGTCCTTTTTCCATTCTTACCTTCTCCTCTTCAGAAGAAGAAGAAGAAGAAGAATCAAGTTGTAAAAACACTCTTTGTTTGTTTTTCTATGGAAAAAGAGCAGAAGACGTGGAGTTTTTAATTTCTTTTCTTTTTTTTAAAGCGGAGGAAAATTATGGATAGATTTTTGGGGGTGAGGGCGGAAGGGGATCCTCCATCTCGCTACCCTGTAAAATCACGGAGGATAAAGACCACGCGGTGTAGGAACTTCTGTAATGCCAGGGCGTTAGGAACTTCCAGAATATGGCTGCTGGCTGTTGACTCTCTTGCTTTAAGTCTTCGGTTCATCTTCAAGTACACAAGACTTTCTGAACAGGACCATCTGATCCTTTGAAATGTGAGCCCAAGGAGAAAGAGACAGGCAAGTGGGTCTATCAAGTCTTCATCTTCACGTGGCTTCCAGTCCAGGTTGCAAAGAAGAACACAACGAATTGATCAAATGCTTGCTTATTTCCTGGAAGTAAGCATCGAGGTTCAAGTCAAATCTGGTTGCTTCGCCGTAACACAGTTTAATACTTAACTGGGTCTTTTCAAACTCAGTGAACTTGTATATGAGATTTCCCCCTCCTGACTTTCTCTACTATAAATCGGGGTGTTGAGGTTTTGGGGGACTGAGTTGGTGTGGGGATAACAGAATTTCCAGGGGAGTGGGGGGGAACAATGTGATTGGACCAATCAGTCCACCTTCAATGTGCTCTTTCCCTGTTAATTTTGCTATTTTCATTCTCCATAGTTAGATGTCAAGCTTTCTTTATCCTGCAGGATTCATCCGAACGCCTTATATTTTAACAAGAGACATTGGGGTCAGAAAAAAAAATCGTGCAGACTCTCAGTGGCCTCACAAACCTTAATGAAAACTGTCCCATTGATCCTCTTGGCATATTTGGGAGTTTGGGGATTTGGACCTGTTTGGAGATGGGTGAAGGTGGATGCCCTCAGTGGTTCTTGAATCTCTGAGAAGGACATCTGGAAGGCACAAGGGGTCTGCCCCCTAGAGCTTCCACTCACCTTCCCCACCGAGGGATCTTGCTGAGAACTTGTAAATGCTGAGTTGATTGCAACTGTAGCCAAGGAGTTCTTGATCCATTGCTAGCCTCTTGCCTCCTACGTAAGCTGCCCCAGTTTGGCTAGCAGAAACCTTACTTCCAGTCCTTCATTTGTGTGTTCCTGTTGCCTTATGAAAGGCAGGAAGCCTAGAGGGACAGGAGAAACACAACTCATGGTTCTATACTTAAATATATCAGGGTGCCTTCTCATTTCAATCCCTTTTCTCCTCCTCCTTCTGCAGTTGCTCTCTATCCCAGTGTAATATTGATGGTAGGTTAGCTTTTGGGCCATTTTAGAAGAGAGTTCTAGCTCGGCCAATAACACTCCAGGTGTCCTTGCAGAAGGCCACCGATTTAATCTTCCACATGTCCAGCAATCGCTTGGGAAGACCCTCCACCCTGAAACCTTGAAAGGCGGGGATCGCCCTTCGTTGTAGACTTCATTGACCTTGATGTGACTCAGTAGAAGGGAAACTCAATTCTGCTCACGTTGGTTGGGGATAACTGGCTTGCAAACAATCACAAATCCATTAGAATCTCATTTTACGGTACCACAATCGGGCGGCTAGGCCGTTGCCTCTAGAGCAGTGTTTCTCAACCTTGACAATTTTAAGGCGTGTGGACTTCAACTCCCAGAATTCCACAGCCAGCAATGCTGGCTGTGGAATTCTGGGAGTTGAAGTCCACACGCCTTAAAATTGTCAAGGTTGAGAAACACCGCTCTAGACCCTGCTTTCCCTTGGGAAGCTGTGGTAGATACAGCTGAGGTGGAACAACACAACTCTGCTTTCCTGACCTCTTAGCTCTTGCCCCAAGGATTTGGAAGTCTGGTTTCAAAAACGGGTCTTCCCACCAACCTCAGAGGCACTAGGCAACGTCTGGAGTGGCCCACAACAATTTTGCCCAGAATGAGCTAGACAGAGGAGCGTGGAAATGGCCACAGGACACTGGAGGAAGATACAGTCTTGTGGATTTGTCTCCCTCCCACTCTTGACTTCCTTTCCTGCCTCCCGGCTTTCTCAGCCTCGTAACTAAGCAGCATTTTCTCTCCTTCCAAAAGTCTGGGGTCAAAATTGTGGATCCAGGGCAGGTACTGAGTGTTTCTGAAGTATGGGAAGAAGAAAAGAAAAGACAAGAAAGAAATAAAAAGCGGGTTTTGTGTGTTTTTAGCACACTCATCAGTTTTATACATTGTAGGTACTGACTTCTTTGGTTTTATATATGTGAGTGTGAATGGGCTTGGGTGATTGAGAGTTTATGATAAACGTTTTTCAACCTCGGCAACTGGTGACTTCGACTCCCAGAGTTGCCCAGCCCGTGGAATTCTGGGAGTTGCGAAGTCCTCAGCTCTTAAAGTTGCCAAGATGGAGAACCACTGGTTGATGATCTTGAGCAAAAGCCAAGAGCGACACGGGATCGGAAACTGATGGCCAGGCTAGACGTCCATGTAAAAAGATAAGAATTTGGAGAGAAAAAAATAGGCTAGAATTAGTGGTACTGTTATGTTTTGAAATGGCAAACCTTTTATATATAAAGGCTTTGCCATTTCAAAACATAACAGTACCACTAGTTCTAGCCTATATAAATCTTTTCCTTGAAATCAATTACGCACCAGGTTATTCTTTGGTTCATTGTCACTTCTGCACCACTTCAGCGTGAGTGTCGAAATAAAATTTTAAAATGCTTTCTGCACCCTCCCACAGAGATGGTTGGGGTAGGGTTCACACACCGCACTCGGTCAATTTGCTGATGCCCACTTGTCATTTCTTACCCTAAAGCAAATCTTTAAAAGGTCCTTTTCCATCTTAACAAACTTCATTTCACAAAATGTCCTTTGGTATTTGACGTCAGCTTCCTAGAGAAGACATTTTCTCGGTGTGACTTTTGGTTTCTTGTTTTGTTCTGCTTTTACCTGAGGGCACTTAGCAGTTTAGAGGTCAGGACTCCCCCCTTAGTAAAACCTAGTGGTTTGGCCTGCACATATTTTTTTGAAAAGCATTGCTGCGTTGAATCTGCCTTGTTTGTTGCACCCTCAAATGGGCCAGATATCCTAATAAACGAGATAAGATGATGGCACGGACGTTGGAGAGCCATGGTTAAAGTTCATGGAGAGGGAGAAGGAGGAGGATCCAATTGTCCAATTTCCAAGTATTGGAGGAAAATTGACTCAATTACATTTTAACTAGGGGGGTGCAGGTAGGGAAGAAGGAAGACGGGATTGTCCAACTTGCAAGTACCAGGAGAAATGGACTAAATTTCATGTCAACTAAACTGGTACAGGTGGAGAAAAAGTAGGATTGATTGTCCAACTTGCAAGTATCAGGAGAAATGGACTAAATTTCATGTCAACCAGACTGGTACAGGTAGAGAAGAAGTAGGATGGATTGTCCAACTCCCGAGCATCATGAGAAATGGACTAAATTTCATTTCAACCAGACTGGTACAGGTAGAGAAGAAGTAGGATGGATTGTCCAACTTCCAAGCATCATGAGAAGTGAAGTAAATCACTAGTATTTGGTGGAGAAACCACTGTTTGCTTGTTTAGTCCCTCCACTGTTCATTATTTTCATTCCCCCCCCCCAAAAAAAATCAAATAGCTTGTTGAAAATCCCTTCTTCCTTCATGGCTGTAGCAGGAAAGATAGAATTGGAAAACCTGGGGTCAGCCATTGGGGGTCAAACAAACATGGAACTCTACAGATCTGGACTCAAAGGTAAGGCCCACTGGGTGTGCCTAGCAAAGGGGATGCCCGATTTTGTGTACGTTTGGGAAGGGCGATGGGTGTGTATGTGTGAGCGAGTGTGCCAATCAGCGAATCATTGCTTTTTATTTTGTTCGGGAAGACAATTTTTGGCTGAATTTGTCAGTCTGTTGTGTCGGTTTGTGGCTGAATTGAACTGTGGCATATGTGTGCAAAAACCAATAATAATAATAAAGGGGGGAGAAAAAAAATCAAAAGATTTTGATATTTCACGGAACGATACATAGAAATGAAATTTGATACTGTAATAGGTTGGTCCCTGTGACATTTTATGTTCTTAATATTTTGATTTTTCGGGGAAGGGGTGGAGAAGGGCGGGCTTTAGGGACACTAATCTTTTTTTTTTTCCAAGATGCTGTGAGAGACATTCCATCTAGATGCCAAATAAACTGTGTTTTGTTGAGAGGAACCGGCCTTCAACTTTTGTGTGTGTTTATTCTAAGGGGAGAAGGGGAATGCTCACCAATTCTACTGGATCTCAAAATGAGGAAGGCTTTTATTAAAATATTGTTTTACAGGTCAAAATTGCAGATGTCTCTGATTTCTGTTCCAGAATGGACAATCCTGGACAAAATAGGCAAGAAATCTGAACCTGGCTATCAAGCCATTACTTAATTTCCTGGACACAATTTTAATCGAGGTTAAAAAAAAAATTCTACCTTGGAGAGCTCCTGCAATACCCTTGTTCTGACTGCAGAGGGCAGCAGTTCCAAATATATTCTTAAGCCACAAATAAATGCTTAAGATTTCAAAAGATCCCTGAAAAGAAACATAGAAATGAAATAAACATGGCAGGTTTTTTCACCTAAAGTAGCCTTGGGATTGTGGAGCCAAGAGTCAGAGATGGGAAGGAAATTAAGGGATGTAAAGGAATTTGGAATTCGCCTTGAATGAAACGGGAGAAGGAGCAAATGGGAGGGATTTGGGGAAGACATTAAATGTCTGATGACGGAAGGGTGAGGAAGAACATCAAGCAACCCCTCTCTTGATTTTGTTTAGTATAAATTGGGATAGAAAGAAATTTGAAACAGTTTTAAAATTCTTTTAATACATCGACAACAATAATGTAGGAGCCCTTCCTCAACCATCTCTACCCCATTATAGAGCTTAGTTGAAGGTATGGTCTGAACTGATGCTGTCTTTTTCATTTACTTGCATTCCATCTTTATTATTTTTACAAATAAGGCGGCGAATGTATACAACACACCTTCCTCCTATTTCCCCCACCACAAGAACCCTGTGAGGTGGGTTGGGCTGAAAGGGAGGGACTGGCCCAAAATCTCCTAGCTGGGTTACAAGCCTGAGGCAAGACTGTCTCCTGGTGATTGGCCCAAAGTCACCCAGTTGGCTTTCATGTCTGAGGCTGGACTAGAACTCACTGTCTCCTAGTGACTGGCCCAAAATCTCCTAGCTGGGTTACAAGCCTGAGGCAAGACTGTCTCCTGGTGATTGGCCCAAAGTCACCCAGTTGGCTTTCATGTCTGAGGCTGGACTAGAACTCACTGTCTCCTAGTGACTGGCCCAAAATCTCCTAGCTGGGTTACAAGCCTGAGGCAAGACTGTCTCCTGGTGATTGGCCCAAAGTCATCCAGTTGGCTTTCATGTCTGAGGCTGGACTAGAACTCACTGTCTCCTAGTGATTGGCCCAAAGTCATCCAACTGGCTTTGATATCTAAGGCTGGACTGGAACTCACCCGCCGCCTTATTTGTAAAAACAATAAAGACGGAATGCAAATTAATCAACAAACAGCATTGGTGTGGACCATACCTCCAATTAAGCTCTATGACTGGCCCAACTGGCTTTCATACCTAAGGTTGGATTTGAACTTACCATCTCCTGGTTTCTAGTCTGCTTTTTTAACTGCTAGATTAAACTGACTTGTCAGGAGATGGTTTTTCCATCTAACTGAATGGAAAACATGGAAGAAAAATACAGGATAATTGGTTAATCCAGCACAAGTAGCGTTAACAACGGAGATACATGGCGCTAGGAGTAAATTTCAGTCTTAG